TACTACTTACCATATCACAAGACCACCAGTTGGGCTATGCAGACAGCAATATCAGTAAAAAGATATTGATATATCTGTTGATATGTAGTTTTAGAATTTGTTACGTAAAGATGAAGTCGTAGAAAGAGGATATTTAATAAAATCAGGAACAGTATTCAGCAGGTTGACTTTACATTGCTTTCTTTCTAGTTAATAAACATTAGAAGGACATTTAATTCTGCTATGAATTGATTTATCATGTTTATTGTTAAGTCCACTAAAACTGTCAGGTTTCACTAAAATTGTAAGGTTTTTTGACAATCCTATCCTTGGTATTGTAATACTTTTCATGAAGTAGGAGTATTGCAAATTGGAAGAAAATAATCAGTCCCTTTGAATTGCCCAAATTCAGTTTAATTAGTTGTACTTCTACCCATTTAATAATTTTTCCCTGGTCATTCTAAGATGTAGGTGGCATCTTCTGATTCCATTGCCCTTACCAATTTTGTATCACCAAATTTGACTTTGAGTTTTAGCCCAGTTACGCATTTATATGGCTCATAATGTCTAGATAATTATTAGATACCTTAATCCGCTTTGCTATCATTTTTTCATATTTGGAAGTTTTAAAAAATTTTTATTTTCTTCCCTACAGTGATCAATACTGTTCTTGGGAGGGGATTTCTGAAGGAGGGTCTAGGCCTGAAACGTCAGCCTTCCTGCACCTCTGATGCTGCTTGGCCTGCTGTGTTCATCCAGCTTTACACCTTGTTATCACTGTTTTTGTGTTGGATTTGTGGACTTGACTGCTGCAGTTGATCTGTAAAAACTTGTGAAATAGAGCTATTTTCTATTACTGTATATCTTAGTGTGTTGGTAAACAAATGCACTCTGCAAGAACTGTTCCTCAGCAACAGTTTCGAGAGTCAGCTTGCTTACCTAATATATAGAAGATCAGAAAGCCAGGCTAAGGGGCAGATCATAACAAGGTGTGGAGCTAGAGGAACACAGCAGGCCAGCCAGCATCAGAGGAGCAGGAAAGCTGATGTTTCTGGTTTGGACCCTTTCTTCAGAAATGGGGGAGGAGAAGGGGGGCTCTGAAATAAATAGAGAGAGGGAATGGCGGTGATAGAAGGTGGATAGTGGAGCAGGTAGGTGGGAGAGAAGACGGACAGGTCAAGGAGGTGGGGATGAAGCTAGTAAAGGTGAGTGTAGGTAGGAAGTAGGGATGGAGGTTGGTCAGTGAGGTGGGAGGAGCAGATAGGTGGGAGAGAAGACGGACAGGTCCAGGAGGCAGGGATGGGGGGGGCGGTGGGGCTGGTTTTGGAATGAGGTCGGGGGTGGGGAGATTTTGAAGCTAGTAAAGTCCATATTGAGACCATTGGGTTGTAGGGTTCCAAGGCAGAATATGAGGTGTTGTTCCTCCATTTTCCGGGTGGCATCATTGTGACACTGCACGAGGCCCAGGATGGACATGTTGTCCAGGGAGTGGGAGGGGGAGTTGAAGTGGTTCGTGACTGGGAGCTTTTGTCGTTTGTCGCTTGTCGCGAACCGAGCGTAGGTACTCCACAAAGCGGTTTTCGAGCCTCCGTTTGGTCTCCCTGATGTAGAGGAGGCCACATCCGGAACCGCGGATACAATAGATCACATTAGCGAATGTGCAGGTGAACATCTGTTTAATATGGAAGGTTTTTTTGGGGCCTGGAATGGAGGTGAGGGGGAAGGTGTAGGGGCAGGTGTAGCACCTCCTGTGGTTGCAGGGAAAGGTGTCGGGGGGTGGTGAGGCTAGTGGGGAGTGTGGAGCGGACGAGGGAGTCGCAGAGAGAGCAGATAAGGGTGGGGAGGGAAATATATCCTTCGTTGTGGGGTCAGATTGCAGCTGGCAGAAGTGGCAGAGAATGATGCGTTGAATCCGGAGGTTAATGGGATGATACATGAGGACAAGGGGAATTCTGTCTTTGTTTTTATTGCGGGGAGGGGGTGTGAGGCCTGAGGTGCGGGAAAAACAAGAGATGCGGTCGAGAGCGTTTTCGACCACTGGGGGAGGGGGGGACATTGCGGCCCTTGAAAAACAAGGACATCTGGGATGTCAGGGAGTGGAACGCCTCATCTTGGGAGCAGATGTGGTGGAGTTCGAGGAATTTTGAATTGGGGATCGCATTCTTGCAGGAAGGTGGGTGGGAGGAGGTGTATCCCTAAGAGGCAGATCAGCTTTGCACTGTATATGAACATGGTTCTCTGTGTAATTTAGTAGGAAGTTTAGTGTTCATTGTTATGAGTAGCAGTGTTGGAGATGCTGAAAGGTATTCATTTGCCTCTGCAAAGCATGTATACAAGATAGAGTCATACAGCATGGATACAGACCCTTTAGTACAACTAGTCCATGCTGACCATGTTCCCAAACTAAACTCATCCCACCTGCCTGCATTTGGCCCATATCCTGCCAAACCTTTCCTATTCATGTACTTAGCCAAATGTATTTTAAACATTGTAACAGTACCTGCATCCACTTCCTCTGGCAGTTCATTCCACACATGAGCCAGTCTCTGTTAAAAAAAATTGGCCTCTCATGTCCTTTTTAAATCTTTCTCTTGTCACCTTAAAAATATGGCCCCTGGATTTGAACTCCCCCACCTTAGGGAAAAGACCGTTGCTACTCATGGCATCTATACCCCTTATGATTTTATGAGGTCACCCCTCAACTTCCTACACTCTAGAGAAAAAGGTCCCAGTCTATCCAGCCTATTTTTATAAATCGCCCTCCATTCCTGACAATATCCTGGTAAATCTTTTCTGTAAACCCTCTTTAGTTTAATAATATCCTTCCTATGGCAGGGCAACCAGAACTACATACAGTACTCCAGAAGAAGCCTCACCAACGTTCTGTACAACCTCAACAATACGTCCCAACTCCTATACTCAAAGGTCTGAGCAGTGAAGACAAGCGTACTTAGTGCCTTCTTAACCACCGTGTGACGCAAATTTCAAAGAATATGTGCATGAATCCCTAGGTCTTTCTGTTCTACAGCACTACCCACAGGAACAGCCCTCCAGGCTTGCGCTGACACATTTTACCTTTCCATACTGAAACTGTCTTCACGTACAGGATCCATACTTCAATTCTCTTCCCATTCACGTATTCACCCAGGTTCTTCTTGAATGTTGCTATTGTGTCTGCTTCCACCACTTCCATTAACAGCACATTCCAGTCACTTGCCAGTCTTTGTGTGGGAAAAACATGCCTCGCACATCTCTTTTGAATGCCCCTCCCTGGAACCTCGAATATGTGTCCCATAGTAATTGACCCTTCCACCTTGGGACAAAGCCTCATACTTTCCACTCTATCCATGCCATTCACAATCTTATAAACTTCTCTCAGGTCACCCTTCAAACTCCTGCATTCCAGTAAAAACAAACCCAGTCTATCCAATCTATCTTCATAGCTAAAACCCCTCATACCGGGTAACATTGTGGTAAACCTTTTCTGTACCCTCTCCAAAGCATCTACATCCTTTGGTAGTGTGGTGACCAGAACTGGACACAATATTCCAAGTGTGACCTAACTAAAGTCCTATAACAGCATAATTTGCCTAACCTCGTACTTATTGCCCCTTCCAATGAAGGCAGGCATGCCACTGACCTTTTTTATTACCTTATTTACCAATACTGCTACCTTCAATGATCTGTGGATCTGCACCCCCATTAATTGTATAAGTTCTGCCCCTTTTTGTTTTACCAAAATGCAGTACCTCGCATTTATCCAAATTAAACTCCATCTACCACTTCTTAGCCCAATGCCTCAGTTGATCAAGGTCTCTTTGTAATCTTAGATAACCTGCTTCACTGTCTACTATGCCACCAATTTTGATGTCATCTGCAAACTCAGTAATCATACCTTGTATATTCTCATCTAAGTCATTTATATAAATGAAAAACAAATGTGGACTCTTTACCGATCCCTGTGGAACACTGCTGGTCACAGGCCTCCAGTCCGAAAAACAATCCTCCACCACAATCCTCTGTCTCCTACTGTAAGGCTACTTTGTATCCAGTTGGCAAGTTCACCCTGCATCCTATGTGACCTAACTTTTCTAATTAGCCTACCATGAGGAACCTTATCAAAAGCTTTACAAAAGTCCAAGTAAATCCTTCCTGTTTTCCTTCTTAAGAAAGCCCCTATGTTCAAGATATTGGTTTGATCCCAGTTGTCTATATTTAATATGGTTTTTTTTATTCTGGACTAGAACTTCAATATCTTTATTCATCCATTGTTCCCTAACCTTACCAACCTTCACACTAACAAGGAACATAATGCCTCTGAACACTTGTTATCACACTTCTGAAATAATATTGAGAATAATTTTTTTTTGTAGTGGGCCATGTTAGATACATTTGTCAAGTTACATTGCAGTACTGTACCCTGACCAAAGGACAGTGAGAAACAAAAGGTGGTTTTCAAGTTCTAAAAGGTATAAGCAGCCATTGATGTCATGGAATGTGCAAATATCCAATATAATCCCTCACTGAGTAAGGATGTGCACTGTTCTGGTACATTTCTATTTTAATGTAGTATTCATAAGAGGGGCCCTCTTGTGGAACAGTGGTAATATCCTAACCCTGGAAGGCCTGGGTTCAAGTCCCACCTACTCCAGAGGTGTGTGGTAACATCTGTAAACAGTTTGATTCGGAAAATAGTTTAAATAAAAGTAAGAATAAGGTCCAGATTTCTGTTTTGATTTTCCTTTAACTAAACAGCAGGTTGAATAAACATTTAAATGTCTGTTGCACACTATACTTCAAATTTATTGCAATGTACAAACTAAAGGTTTATAGTGTAATAATATAGTCCTGGAAAATCTTTGCTTGAATCTGAAGGATTATATTGTGAAAATGTACTGTATTGAATTGCACTAAAGAACATGTGCCCTTTAGTTTCCAGTAAAACAAGTAGAATTTAGCATTTGTGCATCACTGTTGTATTCAAATTCTAATTTTCTTATCTTTTTACCTCTTTAATCTAGACAAAGTGAATTCTTTGGATTTGAGCTGCAGTATTGGCCCTTTGCAGGTAATACTGCAACCTAATCAAGCAGTCGTGTTAGATTGCAACCTTCCTGCTGTAGATCAGCCTGCCAACATAACATGGAAAAAAGAGGGAATTCCTGTTGTGGATGAAGAACAGCACCATGTGGTTCCCAATGGATCACTCTACATTTCATATGTACCATGGGACTCTAAGAATCAAGATGGAAACAGCAGTGAAGGGAGTTATACCTGCATGTCCCAGAATTCATTTGGGGCCATAACTAGTCGGACTGCAGTGATCAGATTCTCCAGTAAGTGATTTTATGGTCACTTGGATGGCTGTTAAAGCATGAAACATTCACAATGTACAGTATATGAGAAATCATCTAATAACATTTGTTCAGCCATTAACTACAGGATTATATTTCTGTTTTGCTAGCGAAAACTAAGTTAATTACGTGAATCATATTGGAGTTATACAGCTGCACACACTCATTGGTTTGCTCAAAAATTTATGTCATTGCTTTGGGGATTATGATAACTGTTGGAAAGTCTTACTGCATTGAGGAAAACAGTCCTTGATAAAAACAAATTTTCAGGCATTTTGACTCCAGTTTTTGCAGTGGACGATTTGTGATTTTGTGATGCTTAGGTTCTAAAACAAATTGTTTGTGTATACCTTCAAATTCACTCTAGAAATACGAGAACTCGTCCCTTTCTTCTGGTTATGCTATTTTAAGCATTCTGAATTAATTTTGAGATTAAAACAGCACTACTTGCACGTCAAAGAGCATAATCAGCAAGTGATAGACAGAACTAAGTGATCCCACAACGATTGGACCAAATCTGAGCTCTGCAGTCTGCCACATGCTGTCTAAATGGTGGTGGACATCAAACAACTCGCTGCAGGAGGAGACTCCACAAATATCATCTTCAGTGATGGAGAAGCATAGCACATCAATGCAAAATAAAATTGAAGCATTTGCAGCAACCTTCAGCCAGACATGCCAGTTGGATGATTCAGCTCAACCTCCTCCAGAGGTCCCCAGCATCATAGATGCCAGTCTTCAGCCAATTCAATTAGCTCCATGTGATTTTGAAAAATGGTTGAAGGCATTGGGTACTGCAAAGGCTATGGCCCTGTCAACATTCTAGCAATAGTACTGAAGACTTGTGTTCCAGAACTTGCCGCAACCCTAGCCAAGCTGTTCCAGTCCGGCTACAACACTGGCATCTACCTGCCAATGTAGAAAATTGCCCAGGTATGCCTGAACTTGAAGCAGGACAAATTGAACTTGGCCAATTACCACCTCATCAGTCTACTGTTCGATCATCAGTAAAATAATGGACGATGCGATCAGCGGTGCTATCAAGCAGTACATGCTGGTCAACAATGTACTCAGAGTCCCAGTTTGGGTTTGCCAGGGCCACTCAGCTCCTGACCTCATTACAGCCTTGGTTCAAATGTGGGCACTAAAGCTGAATTTCAGAGGTGAGGTGCGAGTGAGTGCCCTTGACATCAAGGCTGCAATTGACCTAGTTGTGGCATCAAGGAGGCCTAGCAGAGCAGGAGTCAGTGGGAATCAGGGTAAACTGTCCATTGATTGGAGTCATACTTGGTACATAGGAAGGTGGTTGAGGTTTTTGAAGGTCAGTCATCACAGTTCCAGGACATCTCTACGGGCATTCCTCAAGGCCATGACCTAGGCCAAACCACGTTCGGCTGCTTCGTCAATGACCTTCCCTCCATCATATATTTTACTCGACCTGTTGAGAGTTGTTGCGACACAGGTAACTGGCCCTTACTGGCTTAGAGGTAGGGACACTACCACTGCACCGCAAGGGCCTTTTCCCTTCATCATAAGATTACGAGTAGGGGTGTTCACCAATTTTCAGCACCATTTGAGACTCCTGCAACCCGAATGCAATATTCAGGCTTAAGCTGAAAAGTGATAATAAACATTTGTGCCCCACAAGTGCCAAGAAGTGATATCTCGCTTAAGAATGCACTTAAGAATTTAACTATTTCCCCATGCCATTCAATGGGCTTACCATCACTGGACCCACACTGTCAACATCATGGGGGGTCACCATTGACCAGAAACTGAACTGGGCCATATAGATACTGTGGTTACAAGAGTAGGTCAGAGGCTAGGAATACTGCAGCGAGAAACTCCCCTCTAACTCCTCGACCGTGTCTCTCGCATTTCCCGCAACTCATCCCTCACACCCCCTACCCGCAATAACAACCAAAACAGAATTCCCCTCATCCTCACATACCACCTCACCAATCTCCGAATCCAACACATCATCCTCCGACACTTCTGCCATCTGCAATCAGACCCCACTACCAAAGACATTTTTCCCTCCCCACCCTTATCTGCTTTCTGGAGGGACCACTCTCTCTGTGACTCCCTTGTCCACTCCATACTCCCCACCAGCCCCACCAGCCCCAGCACTTTTCCCTGCAACCGCAGCAAGTGCTACACCTGCCCCTACACCTCCCCCCTGACCCTGTCTGTCTCCTCTCCACCTATCTTCTCCTTTATCCATCTTCTATCCGCCTCTCCTTCTCTCCCTATTTATTTTAGAATCCTCTTCCCCTCCCCCATTTCTGAAGAAGGGTCTCGACCCGAAACGTCAGCTGTCCTGCTCCTCTGATGCTGCTTGGCCTGCTGTGTTCGTCCAGCTCTACACCTTGTTATCTCTAACTCCATACTGCCTGTCCACCATCTACAAGGCACACATGTGATTGAATACTCCCCACTTGGCTTGTTAACCCAACAACATTCAAAAAGCTTTACACCATCCAGGACAAAGCAACCCACTTGATTGGCAACGCAAGCATTCACTTCTTCCACGACAGACAGTTAGTAATAGGAGTATGCGCAATCTACAAGATGTACTGCAGAAATTTACCAAAGATCCTTAGATAGCACTGTCCAAACAAAGATCACTGCCATCTACAAGATCAAAAGCAACTGCAAGTTCCCTGCAAAGCTACTCACCATCCTGACTTGAAAATTTATGATTGTTCCTTCAGTGTCACTGCAACAAAGTCCTGGAATTCTCTCCATAATTGTTGGTCAACTTGCAACAATCGAATGCTGCAATTCAAGAAGGCAGCTCATCACCATCTTCTCAAGGGTAATGTAGCAATGAGCAACAATCACTGACCTAACCAGTGATGCCCACATCCCATCAGTGAATAAAAACAGGCAATCTCAACCCTTTACCAGTGATGCATGAATCTGTACACTTACTTTATGCTGGCAATTAGAATAGAAATATAGAAAATAGGAATCGGCCATTCGGCCCTTTTGAGCCTGCTGTGCCATTCACTGCGATCGTGGATGATCATCCAGTTCAGTACCCTGTTTCTGCTTTTTCCCTATGCCTTTTTATCCTTAAAATCTATATCTGACTCTTTCTTGAAAATATTCAATGTTTTGTCCACAATCGCGCTCTGTTGCAGAGAATTCCAGAGGATCACTACTCTGGTTCAAGAAATTTCTCCTCATCTCATCCTAAATGACCCACTCCATACCCTTAGCCTGTGATCACTCGTTCTGGACTCCATAGTCATAGTACTTTGTGTACTTAAATTAATATTACCCTCAACATGTTTAAATTTTAAATTAGTTAGCAAATTGGCCATTTTTTTACTGTGCCAATTTTTGTTTTCCATTGACCAAGAAAATATTGCCAAGACTTCTAATTTCAAATAATATCAGTGAGGCTCAGAGGTAAGTCTCCAAAAATGAGTTTGTTACCATTCCTGAACTTCAATGGAAAGGAGTTCAGGTGTAATGAAAAATCAGCTCCTGATTCCCTATACATTATGTTTTATTAGTATAGATCAATTTCGGCCCCTTCAACTTAGAGTAGAATGTTTAGGTTAAATTGTGTAGCCTGCTAGCTGATAAAGGTGAACATTGCCTCTCAATATTTGATTGGGTTGAATTGAAATTTATGAACAAAAAAAGGGTGAAGAACTGGTGTGAGGTACAGCAAATTGACTTTGAATCATATCCTTTGTAATTCTGATGACAAACTCGGATTTGAAAGTTATATTTTTGATTCCATTGTTTCATTGATACATCTTCAATTGTTTGAAGTGCTAGAAACTAAATTAAAGATACAGTAGAAACGAAAAGCCATGAGTCACAGAAACTGGAAATCTGAAACAACAGTGGAAAATGTAAGTCAGCATCCGTGGACAAGAGATATAAGTTGATGATTCAATATAGACTAGGCTAGTTCAACATTTTCACATGTGGTGCGGGGAGGTGCACATTTCAATTGGAGCAAAAAAGTTTGGCTCAACAACAACTATGATTTTCAATTTAAATAAATGAGTAATTAATAAGAAAAAAGTTTACTGAAAGGTGCTAAACAGCAGAGCTAACTAAAATTATTGAGAACCAGAGCTAGGAGAGGCAGATTGGCCTCTAAGTCCTGATTGCCAGGGATGGGGATGGGTACTGGCACTGAGCTTAGGAGGTGGATTTAACTGACATTGACCTTGCAATCACTTCTGGTGATGCATGCTGTGCATTCCTATAAAAGTTGGGTTGGAAGCAGATTTTCTTTCAGCCTGGGTTTCTTCCTCTATCTATCTGTTTTATTGGGGTGGTAGGTGGAGGAAGGAGAGGACCATTTGTGCTGCCTGGCTCAATCACTATCTGGGTTTATATACATTCTGTCTCATTCAGACGCTTGATCTCTCACTGACATCCATGTGATTCTCCCTTGTGCACAATATGGGGCCATGCGTAAGCCTGGGTGGTGTGTCTCAATTAGGTCAGAAAGAGAATGCTGACAATCAAGCCCCACTATTCCATAAGCTATCACAGGTTTATCTACCTAATTAAGCCACTGAATGATCAATTTGTCTTGCTAGTTAATACAAAGCTTTCGTCATCAACAGGAAAATAACTTTATTGTAAGTAAACTTATTTTTTATAAAAAGACAAAGAAAAGGGTTACTTATTGCTGCTGTGCAATTTAAGATGTACCCCTTTAAAATCCCCAATAAGTGAGCACACGTGCATTCCCAAATCTGTTACACAAAAACAGACCATTTGACACAAACATTATGGATAAAAAAATATAGACATAGACAAATAAAATCTTGTAGTTCGAGTCCAGACTGCAAGGGTGGGATGAGTTGTCGCTTGATTTTTTTTTGTTTCTTTTAGTGATGTTTGCACTATCATATGGAGAACAACAGTTGATCTTAAATTCAGTGGTTGATTTGTGGACCTAGCTTTTTTAATTGTATTAAACTTTCTTTTCAGAGCCTTCAAGT